CTACAAGAAGGTCCTTATGTAGCTTTGGAATCACTTGTAAGTGTATGTTTATAAGTTATTGAAGTAATCTGAGTAATTTATATTCATTTTAACTATCAGCTACTCTAAATATTTCAAACCCATTTGAACTGGTATTGTTCATTTTTTGTTTTACTCAGATATATCTTACACTGTGTTTTCAAACATTTTGTCATGTATAGATGAGATCTAACAAGTTCTTTGTCTCTTTCAAGGCAGTTTCATCCTAAAAGATTCTTAGGGTTTATTGCTCATCTTAGACCATTGGTCCTTTTTATTTATTTTAACTCTCAATTTCTTCTACAAATAAGACAACAGTATGCTGGATTATGTTTTTAGAAATTTAGAATAAGAAATAATTTTTGCAGAATCAAGCTCTCTCCAAGAGGCTTCCAAAGATAAGCAGAACCTGACAAGGACCTCTCGTCTCTCAGAAACATATTTTAACTACAATGGTAGATCCTTCTTGGGAACATGTTCTAATTAGCCATCATGGAAATTTTAAAATTTAAAGTCAGAACTAGCAGTTGCAGTGTTTTGAGTACTTGATGTGCATATAAATGTTCCCTTCTTCTATTCTAGATATATATATATACACTAACCTAAGGAACTAAGCTTTCATTTTCTAATAAAGCTTAAAATCAAAGAAAGGGTAATAATTGCACAAATCTGTGTTCACTGAAATCCATCTAAAATTGCTTAATGAATCCATCTCCACATGGTGGATTGTCTCATAAGAACAAAAAATTCACTGACGCTTTCTTTTCCTTCACTCTACCAGCTTGCATGAGTACTACTAATATTCACCTCTGTTACTCTTCTTTATCTATGCAAGGCAGAACTAATTAAGCTTCTCCCCCTTCCTAATTATTTAAAAGTGTTTTGGGCATCACCTCATCACTGTGATGTGTGTATAGGGACTCTGCAATGTAACTTAGGCAAGGGCAGCATATCATAAGGAGAAATTACTAACAATTTAAACATTTCTCATGTGGACTTGAAATACATTCAGGAACTGGGGAAGAAGAAAATCCCTCAAATGAAAAGGGAAGACAAGATGGACTCCATAGGCAGAATAGGTAAATGACTTCAGAAAAGAAAGGGATATAAGTCCACAGGAAAGCCGCCACTCCCGCCTCTAACTCCTGCCATCAGCCTCATGGAACTGCTATTCCATCATTCCTTCATAGACTCCAAGTGCAAATGAGGGAACGTTTTATTAAGAATAAACTAGATAATGAGAGGAGAATACAATACTCAGTTTCCCATATCCCTTTAAAACTAACATCTGAATTATTTCAGAACTTCATAGAATTTCTTCAGATGCCAGTATGTAACTGCTTTAGGAAATCCTGAATAGAAATAGGGTTTGTATGATAGTGTAAGATCTGCAATTCCACTAAGCCATAAACAGAGAGGAAAACAATAACGGAGCCTGAACTTCTTTTATGAATTTCCCTTCTCTACTGAAAAAAAATGTAGCCTGATCTCAGGAGCCAAGTAGAAAGGAGGCCCTATCAAGGTTAAGTTTTTTTATGGCTGATTTGTTTTCTTTACCATAGATGATTGCATTCTGAAGACTTAAATGGAATATAACCTACTCTTTTTCTATACAATGATTAGCCTATTTTCTGCTTTTTGTATACAAAGATTTGTCTATTTTACATTAAATGTTAATTTCATAGTTGAAGCCTATGATGATCCTATGTCTCTTAATTTCAAGATCTTGGACAATACCGCTCTGTTGTTTTTCTCCAACAAAGCATTTGAGATATAGTCAGTGGTCTTTTAGGCTATAGTTACTCAATTAGCTCTTGGGCATGGTTGTCCCAGCAATCCATGAAGGGATAAGATTTGTGACCAAGTCTACACATTAGAAAAGGTATAACTGTTAAGGCAATGAAAGGAACCTAGTCCCAGTCTTTAGGTCTGATTTTGAAGCCCTTCATCCACTGAACAAATATAAATGTCCTAAAATAAAATATGGACTAGAGTTAATACTCTTCACCTTGGTTACAGAGGACACAAAGATGTAGAAGCAGGTCCTCTTGGAATCAATGTCTTACAATCCAGGTCAATGGAGAGTTTTTGCATGATAGTAACTTTTACTAATCTTATGATTTAAATTTGATGATTCCCATTTTAGCACTCCACTAAACAAACATTTGTAAGATTGCTGAAACAACCCTTCTATGCTTCACCTTACTTTCCCATAAAATACACCTCAATCTCTGTCATTAGATTGCAGTTTCTTTAAAATTTTTACTCACCACTCATGACGCAGGAAGTGACTGATATATAGGTCACAAAGTCCCAACCTTGTTTCACCTTCCCAGGGTTATAAAACTATTAAAGTAATGTGTGAAGACAAAGTGGTTTGGACTGTGCTTTTGCAATTTCCCTGTTTCAGTACACCTTTTAAGCAACATGTGGTCTAGTGGCTTAATCATCAGCCGGAGTTAGGGAGCTCAATTGACTTTCCATCTGAATCCTATTCTGTCTTTGACTTTTGAGGTTGTTAGGTCACTCTGGGTCACTCATTAGAAATCCCAGTGTCCTCAGAATTCCATTAAATAGAAGAAGGGTGAAAAAAACATTTGCCACCTTGTCATCTGGGATTTTGTTTAACATCAAATAGCTTAACATTGTGAGGTTATAATAGGATTTCAAATGTTGTACCTGATTTTCAATCTCCAGGAAGTGATTATCCCAAGTAGAAGAATGATTGGAAATTACTTCTTCCATCTGCAATTTTGAAGGAAAACATTCATTTTATTTACATTCTATATATTTCTTAGGTATTAACGATGGACAAAAGACTAGAGATCATAAACTGAGATTTTACACAAAGTGTTTGAGTAAAACCCTTTTTAAAATTCAATCCAGTCCAGCTAGGTTACCAGGAATATGGGTGTTTGCTATTCATTAGTTATCACTGCAGAAATAAAGACTGGAACAAGTACCAGCACAAATGTAACTGATATTTCATGCCTTTTTAGGATCCATAAAACAATTGACATAAAACTTTTTAAAATACGTCACATCAGTAGGTATGGCCTTTATTAGTATTGGCTTTTGTTCTCAGAAAACCTCTATCACGTAATAAATTAAGCATTATCTTTCCCACTTTAATAATTAAACACCACTAAATTAATACATATTCATAGATAATGAACTTGATATTCAAAGGATGCAATGTTTCAGCTAAGAAATAAACTTTTTCATGACTTTCGATTTATTAAAAGATGGAATAAAATATTTGCTTAGGTTACTACCTTAAAGCCCAAAAAGGAAGTTTAAAAAAAGCAAACTTCTAGGGAATTACCCAACTGTAGAGCGCTCAAATCTTTCAATGTTATTTCCCCATCAGTATTTTGAAAACATTAGCCCATTAATTCTCAAAAATATATCAGTAGGCAGCCATGGTGGCATTTGCCTGTAATCCCAGAAATCTAGGAGGCTGAGGCAAAAGGACTGGAAATTCAAGCCCAGCCTGGATAATTTAGTGACTTAGTAAGACCTGTCTCAAATGGAGATGATGGAGGGTTGAGGGAGGAAGGAAAAACATAAAAAATAATAAATAAAAGGAAAAAAGGAAATAAAAGAAGGCAGAAAGGAATTATGATGTGTTATGTACATATACCTATTCCCCACAAAGAATGCAAACAGGTAAACAGTATGTACTACAAACATGTACTAAAAAAAATGACATAAAACAAAAATAAAAAGGAGCTGTGAATATAGGTTAGTGTGATATAGGTTAGTGTGCATATAGGTTAGTGGTTTCAATCCCCAGATATCCCATACCAAAAATAAAAAAAAGGACCATAATTTAATTCTATTGTAGAAGAAAAACAGATTGGGTTTGTTGTTGTTAGTGAAGAGGTTTGATGTATTGTCAAATGGCACATAAGAGACACCCAATTCACTAATTCTTAAATAAATTAGTAAAATTTGAACACAAACTGTGCTTCCAGGTGGAGGGGGTTAGAGGTGTGAGAGAAAATTGAGAAACAGAGCCAGTTGATTCTAAACCTAAACAAGCTGGTGATTAAGAATGTGGCACTACTGCTTTTCAATTCAAGGAAAATATGAACAGAAATCTAGGTTGGTTTCCTTAAAGTAGGCCAGGTTTATGAGAACTAGAGTGTCAGACATTGTCTGAGCCTCCCTTTGGTAAATCTTCATTTAACAAGAAACTCGAAATTCTTGCTTTTGCCTCTAAGTATCTTGGTTTTGTTTATAATGAAATCTTTAATTTGATGAGGAAAGTTTTTTTAAACTCATATTAGCACTATTGCATTCCTATTAAAGAGAGTCTAAATGCTTCATTGATCTGCTGGACCATAACTGGAACAGCAATTATGTGTGAGAATAAGTCATTATACTTTGTGGCAGAAAATCATCTACTGAATTGGAGGTTCATTTAATTGATTTCTTTATTAATCAGGACTTTACAACAGAGTAATACATTTTAAAAGTAACATGCATAATCATTTACTGCTGGAGTTATATCTGCATTTATATTTAATTTCATCCATATTCTAAAGTATTTACAAATATGCATTAAATAGGATTAGTATTGCTTAACTTCTCATTTGTTTCATCGTCTAACAATGTTTATTTAGAAATATAAAATTGAATATCCAAAGCCAATATCTCAAGTTTTAGTTAATATGTTAACTCAGATATTTCCTTCTTTATTTCCATAGAATGTGTCATAGGTTTTTATTTTTATATAAGCAGAAAATGAGTTTTCTTTTGAAATCTTCATGGCCCTTGTTATCGTTGCAAGCATGTCACAGCGTGAGATTTGAGAATCTATCTCCTAGAATATAGCAGATACAGAGCGATAGTTACCAAAAAAATTACAGTAAAAAAATAAAATTAAAAAAACTTTACCCATGTAGATGTTGAAGTCATATCCTGACCAAAAGAGGAAGTGGCAGATTACTGGGCTCAAACTTATCTGATGCTGTATCTCACGGGAGGCAACTGCTGACTGTTTTTAGTCGTTTCTGTAGCAGCAGAAAGCGCACTAAGTAGAAGTAGTCTGAATTCAAAATGCTGAAGAGAAAACCATCCAATGTTACAGAAAAAGAGAAACATCAAAAACCAAAGGTAAGATAATTTCATAGTAATTAAATAAATAAAACTAAACCATTTCATATAAAACACACAGTGTTCTTATTGGTCATAAGTCAGTTCAAGCAGAGTTGAATGCAAAGGCAAATATGGAGAAGTTGTATTCTGAAGTAACAACTTCAGTAAAAATTGTATTCTGATGTTAATAACTAACAATTACTGTCGCTGAAGTTTTTAAAATATGATCAGTTACATCTTTAACTGAAGTCTGAGTTCAGATCAACTCCATGAATCTCAATTTGGTTGTCTGTGTTTGAGAGGTTCGATGACTGTGTTTGAAATTTTCAATGACTATGAAGTTGTCTATGTCTATTTAACTCTACCAAAAGCACTTATTCTCTTAAGAACTTAGCTCTTCTTAATGTATTTAATTATGAGAAAGTTGTAAATGGGGATCTTTCAATTAATGTATGAATGGTAAAATTTTAGAGATATGTTTTTCCTACTCTTTCCCTTAAACAAAAATTATTACTAGAGAGAAGAGTAGGCTGTGCTTTGAGAAATATCCAATCCCCATCAACTGGTACATTTGACCAGTTGGCATTATGTAGAATGCTATTCTATGCTCTGTCTTGACATTAATTCTACTGTGAAAAAGTAGAGTATAGGATAATAAAGTTTAAATTCTGTCCTAGAACTCTAAATTAGGTTCATTAATAATATTAAAAATTTATGAAATACTGAGGTCAAAAACTTTCTCCAATAATTGCACATTTCTTGAATTTCTTAGGTTAACAAAAATTATAATCTCTTTGTGATTCAGACAGTAGCTAAGTCCAGATGTCTTTTTTAATGATTGATTTACTGTTTGTTATCAGCCTTTGTTAGGCACTTCTTTTAGACAAATGGGTTGGGAATTGACTATGATATTTCAAACTAATGTGGCATTGGAAAATGATCAATATTTTGAAACATTTTGGAAGTTACTGTACAACATCTTTGACGGAAACCAGAAACAAATTATTTCTAATCTTTGAAACTAAGAATACTGTAACTGTATATCAATTTCAATATTTTCTGACACAAAAATCCGATAAAGACCAGATGAGCATCTTCAGTTGAAATTTTAGCATATAACATATTATGATTTCTGTCTTGTCTCCAAATAAAATTAAAAATGTCAGGTAACATTTTCCAAAGTATACAAAAAAAGTTTTTAAAAGCATCAATTATCCTCCTATTTAGAATTAATTTTACATAAATATATCTGATTAAATATAGCAAGTATTCATTTGGGGGAGATTATAAAAATTAATATGAAGCTATAGCTTTCTTCAAATATTCAAAATTTAAAGCTAGACTATTTCGTAAGTACTGAAGTATGTAGTGAGTTACTATCTATGTCACTGAATTATTTCTATATTGATGCTTTATCATCATTTGGCTTAATAGAAAAAATCATTGTAATACATGTAAACTACTTTTTATCTTATTGACATCCTCATTCATAATATAAAAACATATTTGATAAAATATACTCCAGAGAACAAAATATTTCACAGAAAATAGCCATATTAAAACATGTTGTACTGTTTTTCTGTGAGTGAATTCTCTCTTTAGGTAGATGGTTCCATTCTATATACGAATTTAAAGAGATGTGTGAGTTTAAATGCATAAATGTGACTTTCTTATACTTCAGATCAACTGGATTCTTTAATTTTTATAATTTTCTTCATCAGAATATATTTTAAATCCTTGACATTTAAATTTGTTTTACATTTATATATATTTATATAATTTTCAATACCCTCTTTCATTCTCCTTATCCTTCTCCCCTCTCCCTTCCCCTGAACCCATTCCCTTTCTCCAAATGTTTGCTTTTATTTTATTCTTTAATTGGGTCCTTTCTTTTCAATATGGAAGGGATACTTTTTTAATTATTATATTTATGTCTCTTAATTCATAGTTATTTAATTGTGTAATTTTCTTTGAGTATTTTATGTATAAAGATAAAAATCCATGAAAAATGGCAAAGATAGATGATATGATGATCCCACAAATAAATGGCTAGTAAAAGGAGAAGCACAAATCCTTTCATCAACTGAAAGAGAATGTAAGTTTTGTGTCTAGAAAATAGACTATAACCACAAAGAAATTGGTCTGAAACATGAGACTCATTGTACTAATTATACAGCGGATGGTAGTCTCCATCTCCCTATCCATAAACATATAGTCTTTGAAGTATACTCTCAAAATTTTGTAAAAGAATTTTTTTTGTTATAGTAAATGTTGAAGTAGGTAAGAAGTAACAGTATTAAAAATAAAAGAAATATTGTTTAATATCTAGTTCATGTTAAGTCCCAGAGTTACAGTTCATGTGACCCACTAACCAATTCAAATATAAGGCATTTTATATTCCATGTTACCTAAAGTAAAAAGTATACAACTTTGCATTTCAAAGAAAGTAAATGGATAGTAAATTATAGTTAGATAGATGTAATAATAGATGAGAATGTACTGTGCATTTTGAAACCTGGAAGAAAGGAATTTAAATGTTTTCACCGTAAAGAAATGATGAAGATATGTATAGCAAGATTTAAACTTTTGCACAATGTATACATGAATCAGCAAATCACATGGAACCTCATGGATATGTATACTTCTAATATTTTGATATATCATGTAAACATAAATTTAATAAAGGAAATAAACGAGTTTGTTACTAGTATTTTCAAATAGGTCCTATATTTGTGATAATGTTAAGAACATTCATGCAGTAGTAGATTTTATAAAAATCCTATATCAAAAGTAATTATTTTCTTATATTCATAATTCTTACCAACACATATCCATGACTAAAAAAAAAGTAAATCAAAATATATGTTAAAATGTAGTTGTACTATCTATAATTTTATCATTAATGTGATAACATTTTCATTTATTCTGCTGTTTATTTTTGATATGGGTTCTTTCCTTTGCATCAATAATATGCCCAATAGATTCAAATTTATCAGAAGACATTCACAGCATAGATTGAGAGTCACAGGGTAGAGATATTTCCCAAGGGAAACTTTAAAGCCTTTGGAAAATTGTTGTAAAATAAACCAATTACATATACTGGAAAACTAATGAATTCTAGCAAGTTTAATATGTGCCTCAGCATTTTCTAGGTATATAGGTAAACTCCAATTTTAAAAGAAATTTGACTAATAGTGGTTAAGTAATTCACATTTAGACTAGTTTTAAAAAACCTTGTTAAAGTATTGAAACTTCCTTCTTAAATTCTGTTTTTACATTCCTACCACTAGTGCCAAATACTGATAGTGTATATCCATGCACTATCATGTCTATGGTTTAGGATTTATGGCATATTTTCATTCAATATTCTCTAAATACTGAAATTATAGAGAATAGTTCTACTTGTTTTTTTGACTAAAATATTTCTAATTGTGAGTTTATTACATACCAATTGCTGTGCTCAGAAATAGATGTGAACTAATTTATTAAATATTTTTGACAACTCTGTGGAAGAATCACTTGTGTTTGGCCTCATAGATGAAGAGCCTAAGGGATACAGAAGGTTAAGTATTATTTAAAAAGAAATAGATGAAGAATAAAACTGTCATATGAAAAATATATGATGTCAATTTCCCACATACTATTCTTAATTTTCTTTTTTTTATCCTGTTACAAGTAACAGGATTGTCAATATTATTTCTGTTTCTGTCTTAATTGACAGATTGATTTTAGAGAGACCAGGGAGATTATTTCTTTAAAGAGCATTTGTAATTTGAACAGAGATTTGGTTCTCCATTTTTTTCTCTGACTAAACACAGGAAGTTCATCTATGAAATCTCTCCAGGTATCTACCCAAGTTTCAAAACTTAGAATTATTTTTTTTAAAGAAACCAGAAATTTCCTAATATTAAAATACTTAGAAAAAATGGTGAACTATATTGAAATGAGTATAACCATTTATCTTCCTTCTGCACCTACTATAGAGCCTTCAGAGTAGGAGACTTTCAATAAATACTTGTGAAGTGAATAAAGTTTCTTGAGTCTACCTAAAAAGGCCTGGTTCATGGTTAGATACTCACTAAGTACTGTGTATTCTTATTATTATTGGTAGCAAGGCTGTTAGTGAGCATGTAATAAAGTTTGTGTGTATGTGAATAAATACAACTGTAATTCATTTTTAAATTGTATTTTACCAACTCCAATATACCAAATGTTATACAGTTATCCTAGAGAAGCACATTATTATATAATAGTGGATCTTTGTACCAGGTTAAAGATTATGGTAGAAACTTTGAAAATAAAAAGAATCAGATCCCACAAATAAAACTTGGTAACTGTAATTACAACAACTTGGCCTCTATTTGGCTGGATTAATGATCTGTGGTAGTAAATTTTAACTGAGATTTTCTTTGTCTTATGAAGATTCCAGTACCACTGTTTTTGTAAAAGGAAACATTGGAATGATAGCACTTTCTGAAATAGCTATTTTTTTTTACCATGCTTTTTAATCTAAAGTGCATACTAAATGAGACACCATTAGTGTCACAGATGCTAATTTTCACTAGCAATGACTGAAGTGGCATTCTTCACCATTTGCATTTGATCCTAGCAATGATGAGAGGTGATGAGTTGATTATGAGCTGTTTTCACTGCAGTGCCCGCTGTGCAAATTTATGCTCCTAGACAGGGATGACACATAGTTGTGGCATTAAAGAGCTTTCTTCATTGCTTTTTGTATTAAGTCTGTTAAAATACATTTTAACTCTTATCTAACCAGTTGTACGAAAGAGAATTATCTACTTGTACTGGTGCTTATTTCAGGACAGGCTCTTGGTTGAGGAGCTCATGTCTATTATTTTTGCAAAATCTTCACAGGGCTCTTAGATATATGCATTATTTTCCTCAAGTTTACAGAGAAGAAAATAGTCCTGTTGATGTGAAATGTTTTGTCTAAGATATCATTATTAGTAAAAAAATAATTGTTTGGGGATCTATAGGACTGCTTTTCAGCTTCTGAG